GGCGGCGGCGGCGGCGGCGGCGGCGGCGGCGCGCACCGTGGAAGGGGAGGTGTCGCGCGCCTCAGGGGGTGGAGAAGGGGAGGGAGGAGAGGAAAGGGCAACAGCTGTTTTTTTGGCGGGAGGCGAAGCGGGGGTCAGGAGAGCGACATTTAAAGGGGCCATTTTCAGGGACATTCCGACAGTCCTGAAGAAGGAGCGCAGGCGGAGTTTCCACTGCTGCTGCTTCTAGCGGATCCTCCGCCTTTGCTGGTTTCCTCGAGTGCGCCTTGGGCTTCGGTGCCTTTTGCCCTCGGCCAGCAGGGAAGCGAAGCTCGGGCCTGTTCTCTTCCCCTCGAAGCAGTTGCCTCTATTGTTGAAGATGATCAACCCTTTCGCAATGAAAGTGTCGCGGGGGAACCCCGACGTTGTGATTCCGAAGCTCCTGGTCGTTATGTAATGAGATTGTTGACAATAAACGTGGAGCGTTTCGCCTGTCTTTGGTTTCGTGGCCGAGTTGTTAGTCTGTTGCCTTGCCTTCCGTAATCCATAGAAAGGGCAGGACATTTGCCTGTGAAGGTGGAATCATAGAATGGGCTTGAACGTGAAGGAAGGAGAACATGGTCCACCAAAAATTATGGGCTCCCTGAATACTGTACTTTTTTTGGCTTGAGAGTGAATTACAGCATGTATATATTTGGCATACAAGCTGGTATCCTACAGTATAAGGTAGTGCCCCCGTCTGACAGAGGCGGGGAAGTATGTTGGCAAATATTCTGTGCAATCACTGTGCTCATCTAGTTTGTTGTGGGATGTAGATACTATCTTTTACTCTAGTCCAGTACTCGGATATGGTTAAGAAGCCTTGTAATAGAATGAAAAAAAAATTTAAAGCATAGTTTTAATCATTACACTAAATAGAACTTGTGTTTTACAATGTTCTTGTCCAATTCATTTTGAGAAATTGAGCAGCACCAGCACTATTTTAAATGCTGGCTTTTGGAAGGCATAAGGTTGAATTTACATTTATAATGTAAATATGCAATGCAGAAATGATGGTAAAGAACTGCTTGATAGTTCTAGGATTTAGGCATCTGGCTGAAGAGCAGAGGTTGGGAGGTCAGGTCCCCATTGTGACTCCCTGTCATGAGCTGAACTCAGTCCATTGCATCCCTTCCAGCTCTGCAATTCTAAAATTAAGATTACAAAACCTTCAGGAGAATATTGCTTGCTGAGTTGATACCTGCAGTTTATTGTAGGTATAGCCATAGCCTTCGTTTGCAGTTACGTTTGAAAATGTGTTACTGTAAGACCAAAATAGCCTGAGTTGGGTGTCTTAATTCTGGCAAAAAAATTTAAAAGGACGAACACTCAAAGAGATGACTTATACAGAAGTAGCCAATTTGCACAGACTTGCTAATTCTACATAATTCTGTTTTAGTTAAGCATAGTGGAGAATAGCCGCACAGGGTTTTGAAGTCAAAACCTGGCTCCAGAAATGTTGCTAACTTTTCCCCTATCGTTGTAGGTTTTTAGGGCTGTTTGGCTGTATTCTGGAACACAGCCAAACAGCCCGAAAAACCTACAATAACCATCGGATCCCAGCCGTGAAAGCCTTCACGAATACATTGTTCCCCTGTTGTTTATGAGACCTCAGAATTATTATCTAGACATGGGATTTTTGGAACTCAAGGATTCCTAGTCCCATAATTTAGCGGGAACCCACCAGGCAGAATTATGGGACTGGAATCCATCAAAGCAGCAGGAGGTGGAACGGCCTCTTCAGTTTCAGGCTGTTCCTCCATGGCTTCTTTGAAATATTAGAAAAGTGCCCTGATGTACAGTGGTAGTTGTAAAGATTCTTTGTTACTTGCAGAGGTGCATAGGGGGATGATTTCTAATGGAGGTTACCTCTGTATAGAGTTAGAGGATTCCTGATTGCATAATTCGGCATATGTGTAAGGTCCTGCTGAATTATGTGAGTCCTTGAATTCCAAAAATCCCATCCCTGTTAGCAACACACTATGAAGCCTGTCTGAATCCAGCAAATATAGTGACTAGATTCTTGGGTACTGAATTATTGAGGGGTTGTTTAGGTAAAGGTAAAGGTTCCCCTTGACATTTAGCCCAGTTGTGTCTGACTCTAGGAGGGCAGTGCGCATCCCTGTTTCCAAGCTGTAGAGCCATTGTTTGTCCATATACAGTTTCCGTGGTCACGTGGCCAGTGCGACTAGACACAGAACACCATTACCTTCCCACCATGGTGGTACCTATTTACTCACATTTTACATGCTTTCGAACTGCTGGGTTGGGAGGAGCTGGGACAAGTGATGGGAGCTCACTCTGACGCATGAATTCGATCTTATGACTGCTGGTCTTCCGACCTTGCAGCACAGAGGCTTCTGCAGTTTAAACTGCAGTGCCACCACATCCCTATGTAGACAACCCCTCTATGTAGAGGGGTTGTCTGTATAGGTTCATTTGGATTGGGCAATGTGCTCTATAGCGTTGCTTGGGACTGAATAGAGGTCCAGTATGATACTTGGTGCAGTCTTTGTGTCAAAATGGCATATGCACCTCAAACAACCCTATTTGGTCTGGCTCCTTTAAGAAAGCTAAAAGTGGGGAATGGAGAGAGAATCTCCATCCTTAACTCCTGCTTCAGGGATGAACATTTTAACTTTTTTTCCTGAGGTTATATAGTACATTAGTTCCGTCATAGTACAGTTTTTTAAAAGTTTAGTTCCTCTGCCCCTCTATGGAGCAGAGGAAGAGTTAAATTTCCCAGTATCATGAAGTGAACAAAGCTGTCTTGTTAAGCTGCTAAACAGTACTGGCAAATTGACAGTGAAAGGGAACTTGACAGCCACAAGCTCACTTTGGTTTGCTTCCAGTGATCACACATGCTAGAAATGAACCAAAATTGAGTGATCCTACCCGCACCAAAAGAAAGTAGTGGCTCCTGACAGGAAATCAGAAAGATGCAGGTAGGAACTCTGTAGGGATAGGCTGTTTGGTCCATCAGTTATGTCAAGAGATTGCTGGAAAAAAGAATGAAGTAGACCATTATCACAGCAGACGAATGCCCATTTGATGGTGCCTTCAATTTTTTTCAAAGTGTAATTTATGGAATCATAACCAAAGGCTTATAAAGCAAGCATTTTAATTTGGTAACAAATAATGATAAATGGAGCCTTTATTTTCAGGGATTCTAGACAGAAGGATTGATGTGCAAATTAAACTGAAAGAGTTCATTGCCCTGATGTTCTTGTTCAAGGGAATGAGTCCTGTGGTGCTGTTGTAGATGTATGCATAGCCCTAACAAGCCAAGAGATATCACTGTATTATTTTGCCACAGGCCTAGAAATAGTGTCACAGAGTTGTTTTCAATGTAAGGCTAGCAGTGCAGCAACTGAATGGAAATGCCAGTGCTTGTCTGATTGCCCAGTAGAAATTATTTTTAGATTTTAGAGAGCAAGTAAAATGAGTGCATAATAATTCCTTTAATCTCAAATGCAGGTTTGGAAATTAAGTCCTAAAAAAAGAGACGGTGGGTTTTTAAAATTACTTTACACGCACGCGCGCGCGCACACACACACATTTGCTTTATTTGTTGCTATACTGTGGGTATTATACTTTCATTACAGGCCTGGAAGTGATGGTTTGCCAATCTCTCTGTTGGCATAGTACAGCCATTTTAGAGAGACCTATAAGATTAAGTTGCATTGTAACAGGAATAGGGTCAAATCAAGGGTAGACAACTCTCCAGAGGCTACATTAAACCTTCTGTATTCCCATCCCAAGTGTTGGAATCTCTCAGGCAACAACTCTAGGAACTTTGAATATCAATTTAAACGTGGTGAACAGAAGATTTCTCTAATGGAATTGCAACTATTATCATTCAATTTTATAGAAGACAAATTCCCTTTGAAAAGAATTTCAATGGAGGAGAAATTTTGGAGACATTTTCAAGGGCAATATGCAGGATTTTTCCTACCTTACTTATAAGGTAGCTGAGAAATGTGTCTCTGTCTTACTGTATAGTCATCTCTATGGCAACTGTTTCCCCGAAAATAAGACCTAACCTGAAAATAGCCCTAGTATGATTTTTCAGGATGCCCTATCCTGAAAATAAGCCCTAGTTAAGTGAAACCCCGCCCTCCACTAGCCACCAGAAGAAGGTGACATGACTATATTTGAATAAATGTAGATTGTTGTACATGGAAAAAATAAAACATCCCCTGAAAATAAACCCTACTACATTTTTGGAGCAAAAATTAATATAAGACCCTGTCTTACTTTCGGGGAAACATGGTAGCTGTCCCCTCCCAATTCCCTCACTTTGGTTAAACCCCACTGGAAGTTATCATAAGGTAACTCCTTTCACAGAGCTTTTTTTGTATGAGAAAACGCGAACAGACTAATGGTACAGAAAATAAAAACAAGCAGCACTGTCAATTTTATGGTAAGCTCAAAAATATAACCAAAGGACATTCTAAAAAAAACACACCTAAGAATGAAACAAAAACAACAAAAAAGGAAGGTGTTCTCATTTGAGGATTTTAAAAAAGTACTTGAGAAATTCGAGGAAAAATATTACAGTACTGCTGCAACCTTCTTCCTGAAGCTGGGCACAGCAGTGCCTACCTTTGTACATGCCAGAAGGATGATAAAAAAAAGATGTATCATAATAAGTATGTTTGCTGTGAAAATGAAAAATGTAAGAAGAACAAAGTTGGACTACAATTGCAAGGACACTTGACTTGTTCACAGCTATCATTCAAACTTAGTTTTTCATGTTTGTGTACATAAGTGTGTCGTTTTGTTTTCTTTCATTTATTGTGTCCTCTAGTGTATTTTTAATCATTTATTGTTAGAATCAGTAATGTCATAGTAAAAGTTTGTAAAACGGTTGACAATTTCACCTGTTTTATTCTAAACAAATTTACTGTTAACAGTGGCTTGTAAAATCTGTATTGACTTGGAGTATAGTAATTTTAAATTGTCTCCTGAAAATGCAGTTATTCTAAGTCATATTTGTCACACTCATTACTATAGGGCTGTACTTTCAAAATATTGTCACCAGAAAATTAATTGAAATTATTCACCACTTGAAACTATTGGAAAATCTTATGGAGCCACATAACAAAGCAAAGCAAAGTGTGCTGCTTATATACCGCCCCATAGCATTTCAAGCACTCTCTTGGCGGTTTACAAGTTAATTATGCAGGCTACACATTGCCCCCCCCCCAGTGAGCTGGGTACTCATTTTACCGACCTCAGAAGGATAGAAGGTCGAGTCAACCTTGAGCCAGCTACCTGGGATTGAACCCCAGGTTGTGAGCACAGTTTTGGCTGCAGTACAGTGGTTTAACCACTGCACTACGAGCCTACTATACTATTGCTGTCATGTCTATCTGAATGGGCAAACTAGTATTCTAGTTTTCTTTCCGTTTCATTTTTTCCTATTTCTTGAATAGAATCACTAAATTTCTTTGAAACCTGTCATTTTTATTTTAATATAGTTTTTTCTCTGAAGTATAGACAAGCATTTGTATGATAAATATCTCCGGTATGATTCAAATATATCAATTATACAGCTTCCCTGTAGCAGACCTGTGCCTGAGAGACAGCTATGCGTGTATCTGCAAATGAGCTGATTGTTACATTGTGGAAGCAGGACCTTATTTTAATCATGTTTGCTTGGATGTAAGTTGTCTTCCTTTCAGTCTTAGAATTCCAGTCCATGAGACCAGCAAGACCTCTCAGACAATGCAAAGGAGTTGAAAAATCAGAAACCAGGGAGCACTCCAAAGAGCTGGAATAGGTGAATGAACATAATTGGCATAAATCCGAAGAACATATTTATTCTGTGAAGTTGATCTTTTGATACTATTTTTCATTTTATGCAGAGTTGTAATCACAAAAGTTGATGTAGAATTTGAATCTCAAAATCTACTATATTTTGCCATTAAGTCAGTAAAGGTTGAAAAATATAAAATTATAAATATTTTTTAAAAGTTATAAAGTGTACCCAGTGTTATGTAGTGTGTAGAGTGGCAGTAAACCTTGGTTTGAATTCGTGCTGAACCACTCCTTGGGTAGGGGAGTAGAAAGCACTCCTTAAATATCTCATTGCTCTTGAAAGCCCTGTAAGTGTCACTATAAGTCAATTCTGCACATAACACACATATTTCATATGCTTTCATTATTTTCTATGCTGTACAATACAGATTTAACAAATGAAATGGCTTCATGGAATCTATTCAGATAAAAGAAGAGAGAAGAGATAATTTACTGGTACATCCCTTTTCTCGTATCAAGTCTTATGCAGTGGGCTATGTTCCCCATTTAGGGAAAATATGTACGTTCTTTTTGGGAGCCATCAGATGGGAGGGAGGACACCATTACAGTGCTTTCTTCCATTGTAATTTTAAATTGTAATGATAATTTTGCACTTCTTCTCTTCCTGCCTTCAGAAGGAAATTTTAAAAGAACAGTATAAGTATTAGTGGAAAAAGTTGTGGAGATACCTTGCCAAAGTGTGGACAAATTGAACCTTCAGAAGAAAGAAAAATAACTGGTTAGCAGCTGATATTTTGTGTCTGATGAGAGCCTTGACCAAAGGTGTACTCAGGTCAAAACTTCCCTGACCAGCTTGTGTGAGCAAATTTAAAAAAAAAAACCTCCATCAGTGAGGAAATTTTAGCTGGGACTAAGCAAGGCCTTCTGAGAACTCATGAGATCACAAAATTGTCTAAGCTAATTTGTGAAAAGGAATACTAAGAATTGCTATGAGGTTTTGAATATTCTTTTCCACTGGTATCTTTCAGAGGAGAACAATAAAAGTAGCTCCTAATGTAATTCCCTTTAGGAATTCTCATTGTTTTATATCTCAATTACACTTTAATCTGTAATGAGGTATGAAAAATGTTTTCTAGATTGAAAATTTGGGTGTACAGTGGTGCCTCGCAAGACGATTGCCTCAAGGGGCAAAAAACCCGCAAGATGATTGGTTTTCGTGATCCCTATAGTGCTTCGCAAGACGGTACACTTTTTTTTTTAAGACCCATGCTTCGCAAGACAAATAAATTTCATTCTTCTTGCGAGGTTCCCATAGGGAACCTCACAAGAGGTTTTTTTTCACAAGACGACGATTTTCGCGGAATGAATTAAAATCTTCTTGCGAGGCACCACTGTATTTCCCTTTAAACAATGTCTTGTACTTTCTACACAAGCTTGTCTGAAGTAACATTTCCACAACAAAAAGGATAGTGCATTAGGTTCATATAAACAATGTTTTGGGTGATGGGCTACAATAATAAAGACTTTAGATAGTTGGGTGTGCTCCATGATAGACAACTTGAGAATTTCCAAACCATGTTCAGTCATCAAATAGAAAACAATGTAACATAAAGCGACTGAGGAATGTTAGAGATCTTATTAATTTCAAAGGGATATGAGGGGGTGCTGATACAGTAAGTATTGAGCCTTTCCCAGAAGAAATTGACTTAGGAAGCTGTAACTGCCTCACTATTCTACATATTCCCCCAGGAAGTCAATGCACTAGTGACATCTGTCCTGCAACTTCTTAAGTCCCTGCAAATAAAATTCTTTCGGCTGCTGGTGTAACCGCTAATTTGAAGCATTAGTTGCCTCCAGAGCCCTCCCAAATCGTCCCTTTAGGTGTTTTTTTTTGAGTTTGGGGAACAGATAATAGTCAGAAGGAGCCAGATCGGGAGAATACGGTGGATGGGGCATCACTTGAAAGCCTAAGGACATCGGCTTTGCCTTTATTTCACCTGCAGGGTGTGACAAGGTGTTGTCATCAACAGGATGACACCTTTGGAGAGCTTTCCTTGACATTTTTCCTTGATGTTTTGCATCAACTTTGTCAATAAAGCACAGTAATATTTTGCATTGATGGTTGACCCCAGTTGGAGGTAGTCCACCAGCAGAACTCCCTTCTTATCCCAAAAAACTGTTGCCATTTGCTTCTGCACTGACCTTTGCACTTGGAACTTCTTTGGCCTGGAGGAACCACTGTGCCTCCATTCCTTAGACTGTTCCTTTGTGTCAGGATCATAACAGTAGATCCATGTCTCATCACCAGTTACCAGTTTGCCCAGGAAATCTGACTAATTTCTTGCAAAATGTTCCAAAACAGCCACCGATGACTCCACACGTTTCCTCTTTTGTTCGGTTGTCAAAAGTTTGGGGATGCACTTTGCTGCCAGCTTTCTCATTTCCAAGTCTTTGTGGATAATGGCACCAACTCTCTCATGTGATATTCTCAGATATATAGCAGTACTTTTGGCTGATATTCGACGGTCCTCCATGATCATGTCATGGATGGCTTTCACATTTGCAGGCACAGAAACAGGCCTTCCACTGGGTTTCTCACTTTCAACACTGAAATGGCCAGTTTTAAAATTGACAACCCAGCGTTTAACTGTTGCATATGAAGGGCCACTGTCATCCATAGTTTGTGACATTTCATCATGGATCTGCTTTGCACCTTTCCCTTGGAGAAACAGGAACTTGATTATGGTCCTATGCTCTTCCACATTGAACTTTTCTGGAGGTGTTCACTTGGTAGCTGAAAATGAAAGATAAGTTAAATCATAGTTGATTTTTGCACCGTTGAATACAGATAAATTGGCCAATACACCCTGCAATTTATAGCATCCTAGCTCAATTTTTTCTGGGAAAGGCTCAGTACTTATCAGCACCCCCTCGTACATAGGAACGCCCCTGATGTTCCTGCCTGATAATTCAGTGTGGGGCTCTGACTAGATAAATGCTCAATTGTAAACATAGTTGTTTGTGACTAGAACTTTATGCAGATTTCCTTTACATTTTCATATAAACTAATCTATAGGTGCTTCTAATTTGACAACATTTGGTTTTTGTGTAGTCTTATTTTCATTGAGGCTGGCGGTACAGTGGTGCCTCGCAAGACGAAAATAATTCATTCCGCGAGACGTGTCATCTTTCGAGTTTTTCATCTTGCGAAGCGCAGTTTCCCATAGGAATGCATTGAAATTTAATTAATGTGTTCCTATGGGCGAAAAAAGTCAAAACACCAGGTAGGCTGAGCACTGCTCCTCATGGTGCCTTGGTAGCCTCGGAGACCAAGGAGTGTCTGTAACAACGGCCCGGAACTCCGGCAGCGGCAGTGTGGGGATGCGCACTAAGGAGGAGGAAGTCGCCGCCATCTTGCAAGCAGTGTCAAGCCAGTCCTGGCTGCACAGCAGCACCGGTGGCTGCAGGGAGGGAGCAGCAGGACAAGGGTCGCCCGGAGACAGCTGCTGAGTGAGGGCTCCTGTTGCCCTTCCTAGCAGGAGGAGCCACCAGCTCGCCCGCTAGCTCACCTGTTTTTCCTTGGAGCTGCTCCAGGCGAGTGCCGCCGGGCTCCGCGGGGACCCGCCCAGGGGATTGTCATGTTAGGGGAGGAGGAGGAGGAGGGGTCCCCTGCGGTAGATCGGGCCCTTTGGCTTGGCCAAGCCACCACTGCCACAATGGTGGCTTGCAGGCTGTGCACCTCCTGCCTGCGGGGAGCCCTCAAGGAGGCGAAAGCCAGCCCGGACCATCCCCAGCCGGGAAAGGAGCAATGCCCCAGCGCAGAGGTGAGTCACTCGCTCTGCCGGCCGGACTCAAACATCTGGGGGAGAAGGCCCGCCTGCACCAAAGAGGCAGAGGCAGATGAATGTGGTGGGTGGAGGGGGCTGTTCCGGACTCAAACATCCGTTGTTACAGACATTACCAAGGTACCGTGAGGAGCAGTGCTTGGCCTATCTGGTAAATGACTTTTTCTGACTTTTTTCACCCATAGGAATGCATTAATTAAATTTCAATGCATTCCTATGGGAAACTGCACTTCACAAGATGAAAAACTCGCAACAAGACATGTCTAGAGAGTCACTAAAAACATTGCAAAACACTTTCATCTCGTGAGTTTTTCATTGTGCGAGGCATTCGTCTTGCGAGGTACCACTGTATAGCTCAGTACAGTGGGGTCTCTACTTAAGAACGTCCCTACTTAAGAACAATCCAACTTAAGAACAGCTCCATTTGCTAAATTTTGCTTCTACTTGAGAACAGAAATCCAAGATAAGAACAGGAAAAAAAAACCTTTCCTGCTCTTTTTTTAACCTTAGGTCATCTTAGGTTAAAAAAAAATTCTCCCCATAGTGGTAGAGTACGTATTAACCAGCTTTGGTTAATGTACGAACGCACCTCTACATAACAAAAAAACAGCCAGAACGGATTAATTGGTTTTCAGTCCATTCCTATGGGAAATTTTGCTTCAACTTAAGAACATTTCAACTTAAGAACACCATTCCAAAACGGATTAAGTTCTTAAGTAGAGGTTCCACTGTAGTTTCTATGGACGGAAAAGAGCAGATACGGATTAAATGGTTTTCAATGCAGTCGTATGGGAAATGCAGATTCAACATAAGAACTTGTCAACTTGAGAACCACCTTCCAATACGGATTAAGTTCTTAAGTAGAGACCCCAGTGTAGTTTAGGTATCTTGCTGCAGAGCCAACGGTTGGGAGTTCAATTCCCCACAGTGCCTCCAGGGAGAAGATCCAGCCTTTGTGGCCTTGGACAAACTGCACACTCCCAGAAGTAGGGAATAGTAAACCACTTCTGAATATTATGTACCTGGAGAAGCCTGAGAAAGGTCACCATAAGTCATAACAGATTTATGCACACAATTACTATTGCTATATGTATTGAATGTATTGAATTTTTAAAGGAGCACATTTAGTTTTCAGAGGAATGTCTCTTTATCTATGAACTTCTGCTTTTGTAAGGAAAAAATTCAGAGATGTATCTACTTACATTTTTAAAAAGTGCATGAGTGAGGACTGATAAACATTAGAACTCTTGCTTAACTGGGGCCGTGTGTGTGTGTTTGAACACGCACATATTTCCTTCATGTATGCTCACAGCTTGTGTATGTCTACATCTATGAACCAATTTGCACATATGAACTAGCATCCATGGAATCTTTCTGCATGAACCCGGAGGTACACAGACACAGGCTGTAGTAGGTGAAAGAGCACCTATGTGAAAGTCGGAATGGCTGCTGCCATGCTACATATGTGTACACACACCAGGTTGCACTGAGGGTGTTTGCACCACATAGGCAGAAAATACGCAGTCTGCTTGCATGTTGATCAGTGCTTAAGAGGAGACAAAGAGAACATACATATAAAAAGTGTGCAAGGCTAGATGTATATGTGGAAGGCAAGGAGAATGAAAGAACACATGAACTTGAAGAGAAGACTTTTCTATGTGAAAGACACTGAATTTGTTAATTATGGTAACCAATGAACAATTTTTAAAATTAACTTTCTTAATATCTAAATGTAGAAAAGCATATCGTTCCAAGACACAGTCATGAGTGAACAATGTTAACTATTCTTCTGTAGATAATATTCTGAAAAACTGGCTTCTGGTCTGCAGAAAGATTTGTCTTAGCTTTGTATTTTATCCTGTGACTTGTAGTTTGAATGCCTTTTGGAGTCTTTATTTAGCAACTGATAATCAATTATGGTACACACTTTGTTATATGTTTTGTTGGCAATTTCTGCAGCTTTTTGTTAAGAGCGTAAATATGCTTAAAACAATTATCTTGTCTGCATTTGTTGAAAGCTTTCGTGAGAAGACTATTGCAATCATACAGGTTGATGAAAAAATACATATATGTGTGATTTTTTTATGAGAAAATAAATTGGTAAAATACACATAGCTTTCAGTCTCTTTTATTTCTGTAACATTCCTTTTAAAACACTAATGTTTTTTGGGTTTTTCCCCTAGAAATTTTGAACTAAGATATGATGGTTTGACTTTCTGAGAACTCTCAGTAACCATGATGGCAACGCAGACATTAAGTATAGACAACTATCAAGATGGACAACAAGTAAGAATGTTTTCCAAGTACAGAGCATTGTAGCAGGTTAAAATAACATTTCCAATAATTATGGTACACAACACCTTCAGTTTGACTTATACAATCTACTAATAGCCATTACTGTTGATGCAACGCACAGTCCATACCACTAGATTGTACATTGCCCATTTCATTTCTAATGGTCCTTGTATAAAGCTGCTGTGTAAGGAACTGAGTTTTAGGAGGCAAGCATCCCTTGAAAGACGATTGAGTTGCAACATAGGAGTTATGTCACTGAGCTATGCTTTCCTAAGCTTGCTGAATTAAATTTATGTGTCTGGTGTTTTTGTTCGTTCCTGTGCTGTTTTGAAGCAAAAGGATAGCTTTGATTTCAATATGTTTTAATGTCTTTCAATGATGCACTTTTCTTTACACCTGAGGTTAACTTTGGCCGTGTTCACAAACCCAGCATGTTTGCTAGGGAGCAACCTCATTCTCCATTGCTATGAAGTTTTAATTTTACAATTTGTTGACTAGCCTAGTACCTCTTCAGTTGTATTTTATGCATATCATCTGTCTTTACAGTTAGGAGTTCTGTTCCATTATGGGTTTGAAAAACTTTTCCAGATTTAATTTTCATTTAAAAAGTACTATCCTTTTTATGTCTTTATCAAAATAGTTTCATGATCTTTTGTACAGTATCTGTTTAACTACTGAGCAAACAATGTGTTGTGCCTTTCTCATTGGCATTTTGTCCCAAATTCATTCTGAGATGTTACGTTGAACGAATCATGTTCCTTCTCATGGTCTCCATACATCTCCAACATCGGTTCAGTCCTGCAAAACCTTTGTTTGGTATTTTCGGAGCTAAAACACCTTTATTATACTCAAAATGATCCGTATGGCTATTCTAACAACCATCCTTCCCTGTCTTTAGAGTGACTAGTTCTTGATTGTCAATCTTAGAGGTGGCTGGAGGGATTCTGGGAGCTGTAGGCCCCAAAAAATAACATTTCCAAGTGGCTATTTTCTCAGGCCTCTGAGGATCCAGTTTTTTGTCCTGGCAACCTGTCTGTCCCAGTTCCACATGTCTTTATTGTGGCTAGGACAACCTCACATTTTTGCAAAATGTGTGGCTGTTCTGGTGATGCATCCTAGGCACAAAAGGCATAATTTTTTACTATATATCAGTGTTAGGCCTCTAGTGACCCTGTGTGATTTAACTTTAACAGTGCATCTCCAAAAAACCGTTGACGTTATGGATAGTCTTGTATCTGTATGAACTGGGAGAAATTACAATTGAAATGCACTCAGGTTATACAATACACAAGTGCATTCACTGTCACTATCTCAGCCATGGGCTTTGTTCATCTCAGCAAGTGTGGATGACTGCATACCATGCAGCTGTGCTAACACAATATTCACTGTGCAGGTTGGTCTCATTGCAACCTGTGTTGGAACTTAGTATCAACGAGATTGCTTAGAGCCTTAATTGATATCAGCGTTAAGACCCTGCCATTTTGATTTACTCGAGGCTCTTCTGATCAAGCCAACACATAGAGGCTATTCCTGGTTGGTAGATGAATCTTTGCAACTTCACTGGGGGGATGCTTTTCCTACTGCCTCAGTCATCATAGATGTTGAGTACATTCACATATGATTCAGAGAGCCCACTGTTCAACATTTGCTTTCTAACAGCACATGGTATGCTCATCAGTGTGCTCCAGTGCATGAGAATGTTAAGGTTTGCAGCCCGTCATCTCTTGCAGAGCAGGGCAAAAATAATCTCAGATGATGCTACTGTGAGATGACTTGGTCTTACTGCACAATATATAGTTTGAGCCTTGGCATTTTATGGGCGATCCCAGTTGCTATCTATTCTAGACAAAGTGATTGTTGAAACATGCGACAATAAGGTGACTGCATAGTATTTATACTCCAGTGGCCTTGGTAGTCATGGTTTCCAGTGCTGCTCAAGCTAGCTGGCTCCTCTCCCTACTGGACCTCTTCCAGTGCAAAGGGAAAGTATCACTCCTGTTTCTACTAGCTGAAATTGACAACACTGAGTATTTGATTCTTTAAGCATCTCTAATGAGATCCGATGGTTGTTGTAGGTTTTTCGGGCTGTTTGGCTGTGTTCCGAAGGTTTTTCTTCCTAATGTTTTGCCAGTCTCTGTGGCTGGCATCTTCAGAAGACATGAGTTAGAACTCTGTGTTCTGGTGTAGGATATTTGAGTATTTGTAGCTGTGGGATCAGCTTTTTGTTCTTTTCAGGAGATTGGGTGATTAGGGGTGATTAGGGTGATCAGGGTGTTTTTTGTTATGGGTATGCAGGCTGTATTTTTCAGTGCTGGGAGCCAGGATTTGTTGTATTTTTCACTACACACTTTCTTAGGAAGTGTTGCAGCCAAACATAAACAAAAGTACTGTAGCCAAACATAAACAAAGTACTTCTTTAATACAACTGGGTCCAAAAGTATCCCCAAGCTGTGAATCGGGTCATTCAGAGGGGGTGTAATCCCATCCAGAACTGGCTATATTGTGATAGCTGATTCTAAAACTGTTTGATCAGGTAGGAGTTTTTAATCTTTGACTTTGTTCCCCAATATGGCATTTGTGATAGCACTTATGGCACCCTACAGAGCTAATGAATTGTACCTTCACGGTGTATGATTCATACATGTCCATTGTTTGATCAGTTGCTCACCTTGTCTGGATGTTTTTGCTTTGAGATAGTTGCATTGCTCCACATCAAAAGCTTTAGACCCACTCTAATACTGATAAGCATCCCTTGCTCATCAGTCAAAATGCTTTTTTGAATTCCCATAGATTTCTTTGCAGATGGTACAGATGTTTTTAAAGCTTGCTCACTCTCATGTTGCTGCTGTCTACTTTTCTTACACAGTGGTTTTAAAAAGAAAACATCAGTGTGAATGATCTTTCTGTACAGCTTTGTGGTTGCTTCTGTTTAATTTGAAACATGCCATTAATTTGTGTTCTGGCATTTTACTGTAATAATCACAGAAGCCAGTTTTCGAGTAAATAGATGTCATGTCTAAACCCTTGATGGATTTTACTCCCTCTTTTCTTGTGTGCTAGATGTATTATTTGACTTCAGAAGAAAAATATTTAGAGATCTACCATATGAGATGTCAATACTATTGTCTTTTGTGCATTAAAAAAAAGAAGAGAATAGTGGTCTCCCAGATAAAGAAAGCAGTTTTTAAAATCTGGAAGCACAAATGTCTTTTCCTTGTATCTGAGATCTGTTGAAAACATGCTGATGTAATAGATCAAATATTTAGAACTGAATACTTAAGTTGATTTAAGGCACTCAACTTTCTAAGAATAGAAGTGACTTCATGTTATTTCTTGATATTTGAATCTTAGCTTCTTTTCCCTGCAGTGAATCCTGTTGTGTCCATCCCACATTATTAAGAGGGACTCTTACAAGAAAAAGAAAACCATGGAAATATTTCCTTCCATGAACTTCCTTACTTGAACGTGTAGGATTTAAGCTATAGTTACCATGTAAACTGCTATACCCCCAATTTAACACAAAGTAGATAATGGCCTTTGAAAATGCTCTTTGCAAATTGTGAGTGTAAACTGATCGTTCAGGCGGTGAAGGCAACAGTTGTTCAAGCTATCCAAGATCTTCAGTAGTAGCATAGAAAACTTGGTACAGATCCATCAGATCTACTGGTATACCCTCAGGCTGCACAAAGGAGATAAAATACCCACATGATAGCCTTACAGTTATGTTGTCATCATCCTGGCTTTGCTCAGATGTATCTTATCAAAAGCTCTTTATCATATGTAAGAAAGCCGCCCCAAGTAGACGTTCTCTAGAGGGGTGGGGTAAAAATCGAATAAATAAATAAATAAAATAAAATAAAGTCATTCGTAGTTAGCAAGGAGCAAAATATGTGGAAAACTTTGGATATTTTTTTTTAATGTGCTATATGCTGTCTGTAGAAAAATTGCTTATCTATTACGTGTGCTATTTTTGAAGAGATGTGTATACTTTTTTCATCTCAGATACTAATTTTAACACTGTTACATAGAAGTAAGTCACACTGAGTTTTCCAAGTATGTTTGTGGTGTACAGAATTATGTGTAATGATCATTTGACTCTGTAAGATTTGTACAGTTTGAGTGTTTTAAACTGCTGCTTTAAAATGGTTAAGCAGTTTCAGAATACTAAATACAATCATGTGGCTTATAAAACTAAATATATTGAGAAAAATATATTTAATGTTTTAATGTTCACTCATACACAAATTTGGTATGTATGTATGTATGTATGTATGTATGTATGTATGTATGTATGTATGTATGTATGTATGTATGTATGTATGTATGTATGTATTTTATTTTATTTTATTTTATTTTATTTTATTTTATTTTATTTTATTTTTCCTACCCAACTAGTAGTAGAGCCACTACACTGGGCACCTAACAGAGGAGCATTCAAATAACACAATAATAGAAATAATAACAACAAAAAGAAATTCAAAAAAGTGAGACAAATCTGGAAAAGGGATCATGATGAATATGGCCCCTAAAAGTATAATAATATGATATTTGTTGGGTATTTTTTTAAAAATTGCTTTCTTTATCTGGGAGACCATTATCCCCTTCTTTTTTAATGTTAGCACAATCCCAATTCAGGAATAAATTCCTTTTGACCCAATTCACAAAACACAATGTACCAGGGAGCCATGAGAAGTCCGATTTGTTAGTTGCATGGAGTGTACATTGGTGCCTCGCAAGACGATTTTAATTCGTCCCGCAAAAACCGTCGTCTTGCGAGGTTCCCTATGCATCGCTCACAAAAAAGTCTTGCAAAGCATCAGTCTTTTTTTAAAAAGTATTGCGAAGCATGGCCATAGAAAAAAAGTCTTGTGAGGCACCATAGTGATCACAAAAACCAATCGTCTTGCGGGTTTTTTGTCCCACGAGGCAATCGTCTAGCAAGGCACCACTGTACTGTTATATGCTACCATATTGCTGTCCTTTCCAGCAGGGACAACACATTGAAGCGTGGAACTTTGTTCTGGGGTTTGCTACTGTTTCAAGGATGCTGTTCCCCTTCATGTTTTTCTCCCAAAAGACCAGAAACAGAATCCACAAACAAACAAGAAACAAACTATAGATTCTGTTTCTCATTGGTTGGGTGTGAAACTCTTTTTTTTAAAATCTGCTTTTTGCAGATGTACCGATTGTGCATAGAGTAGCAGCATACTATGTATCCATGGGAAACCTGCAGAACCCTAGTTTAACACGTTGCATGACCTTGAGCCTACTGAATGTGTTTCAGACTACATACTGTTTTGCAAATTGGATCTTAATACTTGATCACAGAATCTTAGAAATGTAGAGGAAATGATGAAAGGGACCCTAAGGGTAGTGGAGTCCAACCCCCTACCAAAGCAGACTGTCCAGAATTAAAACATCCTTGACAGGGCGCCATTTAACCTCTGTTTAAAAATCTCCAAGGAAGGAGAGTCCAGCATCCTCTGAGGCCGTCCATTCCACTGTTGAGCAGCTCTTACTGTCAAAAAACTCTTCCTAATGTTTAGGTGAAATTTCCTTTCTCATATTTGACTCCATTACTTCGGGCCCCACTGTTTGCATCTGGAAAAAACCAAGTTTGCTCCATCTTCCATGTGACATTCCTTCAAATATTTGAAGATGCTCTCCAGGCTGAACATACCTAGATTCCTCAGCCATTCTTCATAGCCTTGGTTTCTAGACCTTCTACCATACTGGTCATCCTTCTCTAGACATGTTACAGCTTGTCAATATTCTTCTTTAGCTGTGTTGCCTAAGACAGCACACAGTATTCCAAGTGAGGTCTGACTAGATTGGTACTGTTATCTCCCTTGATCTGGGTACTATGCTTCCATTGATACAACTGAGTATTGGACTGGGGGGGGGGATGCTGCATCTGCATCACACTGTTGACTTGTGTTAAGATAGTGGTCTCCCAGATCCCTTTCACACATGCTGTAAGGCCCCCATATCCATGAGAGATCAGTTCCAAGCCCCCCACCAGCAAATGCTTGGAAACCACAGGCAATGGGAAACTTATACATTAGTACCTTGGTTTATGAATGCTTCGGGTTACATAATTTTCGGTTGATGAATGGGAATCCATTGAAAATAATGGCTTGGTTTACGTTTTTTCCCCCAGTTCTTTTCGGTTTGCGAAGAAAGTTTCCCCAGGATGCATTGTGCCTGGAGGTTTGTAGCACCGCCTCCATAGCAATCCACATTTCGGTGTACAAATTTTTCACATTATGTAACGTTCCGGAGAATGTATTAATTTTGTAAACTGAGGTATTACTGTAGACAGCATGGTCTCTGGCTCCCTCTAGTTGCCAGTTCTGGTAATTACTTTGTGAAAATACATATTCCTGGGTTTTTTCTTTTAATATTTTTAACATTTTCAGACTGCATAAGTGAAACCATGGATACCAATCCTGTAGATACAGGGTCCTCCTGTACAACCATCAGACCAGCTGTCACCCATATTATATTTGTGCATCTGTTTTCATACTACCTCTTTGTCAGCCTTGGACAGCAGCTCCCTCACTTTCTCCTTATCTGTATTCAGTTGAACACTGATTTCTTTTTTAGGAGAAGACGAGGCAAAGTAGTTGTTCCGCAGTTATGCCTTCTCTGTGTATTGTTTCTTTGCTTCCCTGTTGCTGTGGACCTACTATTTCCTTTTTCTCCCTCTTGTTTTTAGCATAATTCAAAAACCTCTTTTTGCTGTTTTTAACCTCTCTTGCAAGACCATCCTCATTCTGTCTATAATTATTACACATTTGTACACTTCCTTGGCGATCGCCTCTCCTTCCATTCCTTATACATGCCCCCTGTAAATCTTAGCCTATCTGGAAGCGCCTTATGCAGCCATTGTGGTTTCTTTAATAATACCGTATTTTTTGCTCCATAAGACACACTTTTCCCCCCAAAAAGTGGGGGGGGGAGTCTGTGCGTCTTATGGAGTGAAGGCCGCAATTTTGCCCATACTGGCCCCATGGGAGGGAGCGTTGCAAGGGTCCGAGTGAGCCTTCCAGGACCCTTGTGATGCTCCCTCACCCCCCACGGGTCCAGCGGGGCAAAATCGTGGCCTTCCGGGACCTTTTGTGAGGCTAGGACCCTTTAGAGACTCACCCTGCCCCCCGGGGTCAGAGGGGGTGAAATCGCCACCTTCTGGGACTCTTCGGAAGCTTCCCAAGCCTCAAAAAAGTCCCAGAAGGTGGCGATTTCACCCCCTCTGACCCCGGGGGGCAGGGTGAGTCTCTAAAGGGGTCCTAGGGGGGGTTCCAGGACCCTTTAGAGACTCACTCTGCCCCCCCCGCCGGGCCAGAGGAGGCGAAATCGCCACCTTCTGGGACTCTTTTGAGGCTTGGGAAGCTTCAGAAGAGGCCCAGAAGGGGCGATTTTGCCCCCTCTGGTCTCCGGGGGGCCTGGGTGCGCCTCCAAAGGGTCCTAGGGGGTGTTCCATAAGACGGACCTCTCCATAAGGCTCACCAGTTTTTAGGAGAAGAAAACAGATTTTTTTTCCTGTTTTCTTCTTAAAATTTGGTGCATCTTATGGAGAGGTGCGTCTTATTGAGCGAAAAATGCGGTGATTTTATGCAATCAAATCAATTCTGGGGGGAAGCCCTTTTCAAAGTTTTCTAAGTGGGGAGTACTCAGAAGATGTTTATCATTCTGTCCTTCTGGGGGCACTCTGGGACTGTGCAGTTTGTCCAAGGCTGCACAGGCATTTTTCCCACTCCCTGTCTTATAGGAATTCTTTTGTCATTGAGCCTTTAGTATCTCGCCATTAAGAAACTCTAATGCATTATGGATTCCCTTCTTTTTAAGTATTTCTGACCACAAGATATGACCCTAAGCTTGTTGAAATGGTATTTAAGGATAGCTGATATGAAGTAGATAAAATAGTCTCAGTTTTCTGTAAAAGTATTAAGGAAGGCTGGGCTTGAAGCATGGCATATAGCACCCTGATAATATGAATTTCCTTGGCAGCAAATACTATTGATATGTATTTTCCCCATATATGCATAGTACATCCTAAGTTTAAAGTCACTCCGCCACTCTAAAAGCAAAGTATGTGTTAGTCTAATTTGAGAGATGAGCTTGTGGAGTAGTGCCAGAAAATGGGGAAAGAGAAGTTGTATGAAAAGCGTTCAAAATTTTTTCTGAATTATATTTCTTTAACAGAGGTATTAGAATCTCAATCAGTGAATACTTCAGAGAGCTAATTTTATATCCACATGATTTTTAAAGCAATTATAGGAAATGATTTTTGGAGTGTTTTCTCTGGAGTCTCATAATAGGAGTGAAGGAGAAAAGGCAGCAGATGTTTTCAAGGTTTGCTTTCTCTGACTGATTCTTGGAGCAATGTATGCATAGCCTTATCCAAAAATAGCTAGTTCCAAAATACAACATTCTGTATTAGATAATTTACTAAAAGAATCTACTAATAAGAATCAGACTTGTAGTGATCTTTCCACTGTCTCCCTGCCTCCAAGCATTGCAAGAATTAAATGAGTTTTTTGTTAAACGCCTGTACTTTTTTGTATCATTGCCAAGTCATACCAACTTTCTGGCAAGTCACTAGGCCTTTGCCTTTCTTTTTACTTAGAAAACAATCTTTTCGTAGTGAATCTATGCAGTTGGCAATATAAAGCATCCTTCTTTTCCAGCAGATGCAAGTAGTACCAGAGTTGAAAACTGAGCAGGATCCAAACTGCTTGGAAGCAGATGCGGGAGGATTGAGTCCTTCACCAGTAGAGACCCAAACACCGATGGATGCGGACAAGCAGGCCATTTACAGGTAGCACTGTTGACAACATGAACTGTTCAAGTACTTTAAACAATGTTATCTTTAGTAGGTATAGTGGCTGTTCTCAGAACACAAGGAACTACTAAAGGAGGCACACAGAACACTAGGAGAAGAGGGCATACCAGGTACTAGAAGGGATAAATTCTTTCACCCTTCACAAATCCTATCATGGTGAGATTAATGCCTTTGGAAATATTTTCCACGTTGCTTGTTCATTGTATTACCAGAACATGACTCGGGGAAAAGCCACTGCTTTGTTCTTATGATGCTTTCAGGATTGGGGAGTCAGGCATGTTAGTAACTAATTCACACACTGCATAGGTAGCAGCTGCTTCATGCACATTGCAGTGCATAAGGATTTCTATGCTTTCTGTTGTGGGATAGATGGTTGGTGCTTAGTTAGAGGCACTCAGAAAATAGAATACATTTAATAGAGGAACTTTACATTTGAGAAATGCTGAGGTAGAGTAAAGCTAAACAATATATCTTGTAATTTACCTGGAAGCATACGTGTTTTGGGTTCTGCATCTCCCTTGAAGTAGATGGTACATATTTTCAACATTTTCATTTCATTTTTAAGACAGCAGTTCTTTACTGACTTGCAAGATAGTAAGCCATATTGAAGACAGTAGGACTTACCTGTGAATGAATATGTATAGGATTCTACCTTGGGTACTGTTAGTTTCAGCAGGCTAGGATGGTAAGTTGTAAATTCTGTCTGAGAACTAAGGCTTTTTAGAGACTTCATACTAAATTCCTTAAAGACATTAAAATTTCTTCGTGTTGAAACAGTATACCCTGTTTCCCCAAAAATAAGACCTAACCTGAAAATAAGCCCTAGTATGATTTCAGGATGCTTGTAATATAATTAGATTAGGCATCCTTCATTCATGAGAGACTATGGTAACATGCTCTGTATGGAGGACTTGGAACAAAGTCTAGTGTGGCTGAGGAGGCCAATTCGACAGTGACAGTCCCTTCCACACTGAAAACAAATCCAATCTGTCCCCTGTCCAGCTCCCTGATTTTGCTGGTTTCAGGTCTGCCTCTTTGTCTCGGCCTGCTGGACAAGGGTCTCTTCAAATTGGGAGAGGCTGTGATGCACCACCTGCCTTCAGGCTGAGCGCTCAGATGTCAAGGTTTCCCATCTGTTTAGGTCCGTTCCTAAGGCCTTCAGATCCCGCTTGCAGATATCCTTGTATCGCAGCTGTGGTTTCCCTCTGGGGTGATTTCCCTCCACTAATTTTCCATACAGGAGATCTTTTGGAATCCAACCATCAGCCATTGTCACAACATGCCCAAGCCAACATAGACGTCGCTGTTTCAATAATGTATACATGCTAAAAATTCCAGCTCATTCTAGGACTACTCTGTTTGGAACTTTGTCCTGCCAGGTAATACCAAAAATGCATCGGAAACAATGCATGTGGAACATGTTCAGCTCCTCTCCTGCCATGCACAAAGGGTCCAGGATTCACTGCAGTATAGGAGTGTGGTCAGGACACAGGCTTTATAGATCTGGATCTTGGTATATGCCGTCAGCTTTTTATTAAGCCATACTCTCTTTGTGAGTCTAGAAAACACGGTAGCTGCTTTGCCAATGCGTTTATCCAGCTCGAAATCTAGGGAGAGAGTGTCAGAGATGGTTGAGCCAAGGTACACAAAGTCATGAACAACCTCCAATTCTTGCGTGGAGATGGTAATAGAGGGAGGTGAGTCCATGCCCCGGCCCATGACTTGTATTTTTTTCAGGCTGATTGTTAGTCCAAAGTCTTGGCAGGCCTTGCTAAAACGATTCATGAGTTGTTGGATGTCTTCAGCAGAGTGGGCAACAATGGATTCATCATCGTCGAAGAGGAAGTCCCGCATGCATTTCAGTTGGACTTTGGTCTTTGCTCTCAGTCTCAAGAGATTAAAGAGCTTTCCATCTGATCTAGTCTGGAGATAGACACCTTCTGTTGCAGTTCCAAAGGCATGTTTCAGCATGACAGCAAAAAAGATCCCAAACAGGGTTTGCATGAGGACACAGCCAAAGGGATCTGATGTTGAGCTATGAAAAACTAGAGTGCCCTTCATTTCCTCATGAAAGGACCTGATGATGTTAAGGAGTCAGGGTGGACATCCAATCTTGGGAAGTATTTTAAAAAGGCCGTCACTGCTAACCCAATCAAAGGCCTTTGTGAGATCTATGAAGGCCACAAAGAGAGGCTGTTGTTGTTCCCTACATTTCTCCTGCAACTGTCTGAAGTAAAATACCATATCAGTGGTGGATCTATGAGCTCGAAATCCACACTGTGATTCTGGATAGACTCTGTCTGCAAGCACCTGGAGTCTCTTCCGCACAACACGGGCAAGCAGCTTCCCTACGGCGCTGAGAAGAGAGATGCCACAGTAGTTATTGCAGTTCCCCTGTCTCCTTTGTTCTTATACAATGTGACGATGTTTGCATCCTTCATGTCCTGTGGTGCTCCACCTTCCCTCCCGCAAAGACAAATGATTTCATACAGCTCGGAGGTGATGATCTCTTTATAGCACTTCAGCAGGGATGTTGTACTTCCCAGGCGCCTTGCCAGAGGTGAGGGAATCCAAGGCCACTTTTATTTCTGCTGAAGTTGGTTCACTGTCCAACTCTTCCAAGACAAGCACCTCACCAAATGAAATGTCCTCCCAAGCACAGCTCACCTCCTGCCTCAGCTTCCTCTTCGGGAAAAGGGCTTAGAGCTACTGCTCACACTCATTTAAAGCTAAACCCCCATTCCTTCAGACCATGTGGTCAGGGGGAAAAAGGTCAGCCTAGAAAAAAAACTTAACCAAATGACATGTCCTCCCAAGCGCAGCTCTCCTTCTGCCTCAGCGTCCTCTTCATGAAAAGGGCTTAGAGCTACGCTACGACTCACACTCACTTAAAGCTAAATCCCTGTCCCCTCATACCATGCTGTCAGGGAGAGCAAAGGTCAGCCTGGGGAAAGAAAAACTTCATCAAATGAAATGTCCTCCCAAGCACAGCTCACTTCTGCCTCAGCTTCCTCTTCAGGAAAAGCCCCCACAAATAAGCCCTAGTTAAGTGAAACCCCACCCGCCACTATTGTGCAGCAAGCAGAAGATGACATAACTGTATTTGAATAAATGCAGATTGTTGTCCATGAAAAAATACAACATCCCCTGAAAATAATCCCTAATGTGTTTTTTGGAGCAAAAATTAATATAAGACCCTGTCTTATATTCGGGGAAACACTGTAGTTCTTATTGAAGAAAACAGTCAACTCTAGTGGGATTGTTATCTCCCGCATCTGAACTGTGGGCGATGAAGCGAGAGGAGAGACGTCTGGAGCACAGGTGGAGGAAATCCTGTTGGGAGTCTGATCGAACACGACTGGCAGAATGCCCAATTCAAGCCTTTCTGTTATACAGAGCTCTAGAACTAGGAGCCTATGGCAGGACAGGGGGACCGAGCCAAGTGAACAATTGGAGACTGAGGAGAGTTAGAGAAGGGTTTTGAAGGGTTAAGACAGAGATTGGAAAGTTGGCATGTGTTAGAGAATAGATAAGAGATAAAGTAGTAGAAAATAGGTAGACAGTCATAAGATATTGTTACAGTGGTTAATGTGAATGAATACAAACAAGCAACTGTGTAATGATATCCAAGTTTAATGTCTGAACAATCAAAGAACATCTATGATTTTACTTCTGTGATTTACCAATCAAACAATAAATAAACCTATTATATTTGGCAGCCCGGGTCTAAGAAACATATTTAGTACAGAGTGGATAAAGATCCACTGGTGGCAGTGTGTAAAGGGAGAAAAGAGTACATTGTGTCTGTAGGTGGATCTGTGTTTGAGGGAAAACAAACAGGGGACACTGGGGGAATGCAACAATGTGGTGGCAAAGCGGTGGGATGCGAAGAGAATAAATTCCAATGAGCCAAAAAAAGAGAGAATTTTTCTGAGTCTGAGGGACCTGTTAGTTGAGGGCCGAGGAGAAGGAGTGGAAACCCTAGAGCTTTAGTGAATAGCTTGGAAGGGACTCCTGATCGCAGACCTTGTGGAAAGACTAAGACAGGAAAAAGACTCTGAGGAGAATTATTCTGTGTTTAAAGTTCTGTGTTCATGCTTAGAGTGAAAGACCAAGGGGCTAACTTTAGAACTCAAGCTCTGAGAAAGGAGCACTGAAGGGACAAAGGTGGAAGCCAAGGTCAAAGATATAGCTGAGGTGACTAAAACTAACAGGATTGAAAAAAAATTATGAAAAAAAGGTTGATGTCTGGAGGTAGTAAGAAACAGTGTATCAGACCCAGGAACAGCGAGGGTGGGTGCCTGAAGAAATATAGTACCAATCTGTAGCTGCCAGCAGAGAGCTACAGAGCATCTCTCTCTCTCTCTAACACAGAAAAGGGAAAAAGTGTTTTTAAACTTAGGCTTGGCTGTCTGCCTCAGTAAAATCAGCTAGCTTGTCCAAAGAAACACAAATAAACATGCTTTCTAAGTGAGGGGAAAAGGTAGCAATGGTGGTAGCAGATGTTCAAAGTTTACCTAATGAAGAGGAGAGCCCTCTTGAAATAGCTGAGCAAGACAAGGCTCAGGAGGATGATGCCTCAAGGGGAGAAACTGGGTTAACCTTCCTAGAGTTGAAAAAGTGGAAATTGGAAAAGGAATTTCACTTGAAGGAATTAGAAATTAAAGCTAGGGCGGAAGCAGAAGCCAGACAGCTGGAAATGAGAGCAAAAGAGATGGAGTATCAATTACAAATGAAACAATTAGAATTAACAGCCCAGAGCAATAACAATAATAATTCAAATAATGAGGGGAATTTATCAAAAATGGGCTTAAAGAAATTCTCTCAGTTTAGAAAGGGTGATTGCCCAGAAGCATTCCTTATTGCTTTCGAGCGTGTGTATTGGGATTTTAACATAAAAGCAGAAGGTATGGTTATGCTGAGGTCCCAGATAAGTGGAGAGTTAGCTGAGATTTATTCTCAGATGCCACTGGATC